GGCAAAAGTAAATAGAACTCAGCCGAATCATGACGTTTACCTTTGACGTGATTCATTGAATCGAGCTGCATGGGCTTATCAGTGTCCCCTATCGATTCGAGCCTTCTTCCGACATATGTCATCGATACAAAGGCCTCTCATGGATTAGTTTGGGGGTAAGTTAAAAATCATAATATTGGCAACGATGCTATTTCAAAACCTTCCGTATGGCCGCAAAACAGCGGGATCCTCTTCTTTTCCGAATATGTGTGCTTATCACTGATTTTTCGCTTGTAATCAGTTCATTTTTCACATATGGTAGTTTTTAGACGAATTGACATGTACTCTGATACCACGGATTCGTCCAAAACATTGATTATGAAGTATCATTTTCTATATGGCCGACATGCAAAGCGGAAAGCATTCCTCGTTTTGGTCATTCTCGTCAGTATATCAAGCTTTCTTTTATACTACGTGGTAACATCGCTCAATGCTCATGCTCTAACAGTGAAGGCTCATCAACAACGAGTAGCAAGTAGGTAGTTTTTGCAAACTGTTCGTGGAACTTTTCCCAAAGAATAAGTAAAGTGTAAAAAATTGTAGTCAGTTGAGCATAAAAATGACAACAAGCATACACATCAAAAGGGCAAAATACCTATACAAAATAAAGAAGGCTCGTTTCGCCTCTTCACCAGACGAACCAGCGTCTCCACCTTCCCCTGAGGCCCATAAGTGGTTTGTGGTTGGTGGAAAAAGAAATGGGTGAAGGTATTGCTGGAATCAAGGAGAGGAATGAATATGAAGTTATACCATTGGTAATGCCTATTTCTGTTTTAGAAGCCCATTAGATAGGTGATTTTATTGAAATTATCTTTAATTGTACCAAGAGTTACGTATTTTTCTTTGTATTCAGTTTTCAAGAAAATTTCTATCATCTCTTTTGAATTTGTAGTGAATGTTTCCATATTAGAACATGTATTAGCAACTCTCAATGCTCTGTATATATGACAGAGGGTTTACTGGTGTTGAAATATTAGTATAACAGTGAGGAAATCTGATGACATTGAAGCTGAAATCATCACCTCTTTCATACAGTTTGGTAGTGAGCTTATCATTAGTTATATTAATAGCAAGCCTAAATAGTTACTATTTCTCTCACTCAAGTGTGTTTTTTTTTGTGTTCAGGTGTATATATNNNTTCATTATCAAATTCAATTTGGTTATGTACCATATATGGCTCGTTCATACATTGAATGGGATGAATAGCTTAATTTTATTAAATCTTTGATCTTTTTATAATGATATTCCAATTCAACGAGTCAGATCCGCTACTAGAGGACAGCTCTTGGTAGAACCAGGGTTCTATATCCAGTAGATACCACGGCAAAATGTGTAGAATGAAGTATTCTGTAGAATTGTGTCAAGCAGGGCAGTCTCGTATCTTATTTATGAAATAATCAAGAACATTTCAGGCCTTGAAAAACAAATGCTAGCCCTTGAAAAAGAGATCGTTCTCGGCAAGAGGGATCTTTATAAACAGAATACTGTAATTTCTGACGCTTTAAAAAACGGCCTACCAGATGAAGTTCGGCGGCAATTGGAACAAGTGCAAAGATCCCTGGTAAATCGTGAAAATTTGTTGGAGTTCCGTAGAAGAAAGTTATCAGCCAGTAGAAAAGGTGTCTGCTTGTAGAAAAAACAATTTCAGCATTCATTGTCGGCTCCACGATTCAAGCATCGACCGGAAACGTCGCATTTAGACTGCAGTAGGTTATTCCACAAAGACCAGCATTACATGGCTGAAGTAGGACGCTCACGCATTGTGTTGGTTGACAGCACCGTTCTGAATATGGACTGCGAATCGATTTGGTTGAGGGTTCTACGCTCGCCACAGCCGCTAACAGGTTACGGAATCGCGTTCGCTAGGATCGTTCATACAGTAGGTGTTACCGTTGATTTTTCTGAAAGGGATGACGAGGGATGACGCCACCCATATACTGAGATATGCTCTGTTAGTTACCTACTGAGAACATGTAGCAAATCTCAAGGAGGCATCTAGTTTTCTAGTGCCAAAACAGGCTGGGATGGGTTCACTGGGATATGAAAGCATTTTGGGCATGCCGGGTAGTCCTGTGGAGGAGCCTGATCTCTCCTGCTTTAAACTTCGTAGACACAATAACCATCTCCAGCTTTTACCTTGAACTCCGTCAGCCTACCATAGTTTAGGATTATGAATTCCTGGAAGAACAGCTTCGTAACAACTATTCCCCTGAAAATCATTACTGCTATCACGTCGACTCGAAGTCGCCCAATGTTTTTAAAGAACGCATGGCAAAACTATCGTCGTGCTTGCCCAACATATATTTGACTAAAGGTGAGCAAGAGTTTTGAAGTTTCGTGGTTGTGGGCAAGTCTAAAGAAGTTGCAGATTATTTGGAAGTAGATGGAAGAACAGGCAAAAATGTCAACTTCGCTCACATGGCCTGTCTGAAACTACTCGAGAAGAAAGGCTCTTGGCAATATGTTGTTCTTCAACAGGTTGGAAGACAAACTCCTTTCCAGAATAATGGATGATTGGCAAGGTGCACCGGTGATAGGTAATGTTACTTATGTATGCGGTATTGCTCTTTATCTGTAGAAGATTAAGCACACACTCAAATGTGACGACCAGGGTATGTTGTGGATCCAACCGCCCTAACCATAAGATAGAACACGCGAAAACAATGAAGGGTGCACCTTGTTGCGTTACCGTAATGTGGATACACTAACCAAAAGACTTTCTCCACGACCATGTAGGCAGATAGACTTATCCAACGTCACAAGCCTACGTCACAAGCTGATAATTAATGTGTTTGAACGGGAGGCAGTAAGGTCTCCATTTGTCTCTGGGAACTGACCTGTACATTGGAGTACACGTTGCTGGGTCATCCGGAAATATCCGCTCCGCGCAAAGTGAACGCAAGATCAGGCAGCGATTTTCTTCCTCACGAACATCGTCTTCATTTGGTTCAGTCGTAACCCAATCTTTCACAAGCGCTGTCAAATTCGGACATCATTCGTTTCACTTGCTCAATATTCGCTGTTGAAAGCAGGATACCTGCCATACGGGGATGTTGAAAGGAGTAGCCGGAGTAGCCGTTAACCCCCACTCCCAAGACTTCCCATTCCAAGTGACACATGATGTTCTCGAGAGCGGTACTGAAGTTTGGGCGGGACGNATCGTCTTCATTTGGTTCAGTCGTAACCCAATCTTTCACAAGCGCTGTCAAATTCGGACATCATTCGTTTCACTTGCTCAATATTCGCTGTTGAAAGCAGGATACCTGCCATACGGGGATGATGAAAGGAGTAGCCGTTAACCCCTACTCCCAAGTCTTCCCATTCCAAGTGACACATGATGTTCTCGAGAGCGGTACTGAAGTTTGGGCGGGACGGTATCGCCCTGCCAACCTTCTCTCTTCATACGGCAACGACTTTCTTGTAAAATGGCGAAATCCTACTCGTGATGTTGTCGTAAAGCTCCAGGAGCAGGTGTACCCCGTTTGCGCAGTGCTTCAATTACCGCTTCTTCTTGGCGATATCATGGTTTCTTTCAAATAGATGAACGTCAGACATAAGGGCATCCTAAAATCTCGCGACCTTTCATTGAGTCTTGTCGCAATGCGAATGTGATCCATCGTATTGAACCCTTCTGAAATCCTGCTTGCTCGATTGGTTGCATTCAGCCATCAGCCAACCCTGGGAAATATGACTTTGTTTTTTGAAGGATAAGCTGAGTCGTTTGAAGAGTTGGTAGATTACAGAAAGCAGGCACAATGGGAGGTAGTTGCAAAGATCCCTTTACTCTAGTTTTCCCTTCTCACACAGCGCACGGTCCTGTTATTTTTCCGTGACATGGGAATTTGACAGGTGCTGCTTGTAGAGCTAAGCCAGGGTTGTGACGGTAAGGGACGGAAGGCTCAAGATTGGCATATGCACAGTTGGAGTGCCATCTGCCTTTTCTTACTCTTTGATGAATCGCTCCCGCTCCGTTACCAGAAAGACACTCTGAGCATGTAGCATCCAGGGATGGGTCCTTGTGCCTATACGATCCAATGTCGGACTCGATCGGTGAATATCCTACTACTGTACGGTGTGAACTCCCTCAATTTTCAGCCCGAATATTCCTCTGAGTTCTGTGTGGAATTTGTCTTGAGTTGTAAAACATAAACAATGGGCGAAAATAAAGCAAAAAGGAAAAACTTTGATTCGCTAATGAGATTATTTTCACAGACCCATGACGTCGTAATTCGAACAAACCAAGAAATGAAACGCATTTTTCAAGCTCTGAATGGTTCGAACGACGTCGAGATCGGCCCATGCCCCGCAGAAAATTACGATCAAGGTATGAAATGGGACGCGGAATCTCTTGGAGTGTTCCACAGTAAGTACAGTTACTGTAGCTTGCAAGATCAGTTTAGTTGAAGTTATTATTCGAATATACTCCGGAAAGAAGGCTTAATAGAGCACAAGGAAAAGGAAATAGAAACAGTGCATGCCATGGCCATTCAGCGAAATTTTGGTCACGATTCCTATGTGAGTATGAAAGGTTTTTCTCCTCAAATGAGGGAGATTAAGTGAAAGCTTAGTTTGACAGAATGGTAAACACCACAGTGATGAGGCCTGGTTGAGCTTGATCCCTCACGAGACGGGATCGTTTGGGGCTTCAATCTGATGAACAAGTGGGACCGCAAGCCAAAGACTCCACCATCCTTTTAATTCTTGAGTAGCTGGACATCTTTTGAGCCGTTTCCACAGCCATCAGCGAAGACTTTCCATGTGCTAGTGAAGCATAAGCTCTTGCTAAATTAGGGAGAGGGAAACCTTGACGTAAGAGGAACTGGCGACTTGGCTTTGTGAATTTCATATAAGCGAAATGGAACTAAAAACTACAATGAAATAGTATTTAGTGTTGGAGGAACTACTCACTCTAACTCGATCCCCATTGTTACAGACTTAACTTGGCAGCCATCTTCTGAAGCGCTGAAAACTCCACTGTTCATCGTGAAGGGCGCAGTGCAAGCATCGCTGTCACGGGAAGCAGTGAAATGGATGACAAGAGTCAATCTCACAAAACTTATTGGCCAATTCAACGTTGGGGCAAGTTTGCTTTTGTCTGCATTGTCTGTTCAGATGATATTTTATGAGGTCCACTTCCGATATTGAACAAAGCTTACTCACCCTCAGAAACAATCAACGGACGAGATGCTGATGAGCTCCTTGCAAATTGCAGACGAATGGGAAATGCCAGGACGGTTCACTAAGCAGTGTTTCTTGAACGACTCTCTTTCAAATGATGCCATCACCAGGTAAATCGACTACAATCCTCGGTTATCAAAAAGTTATATCATGTTTTTATTCAAGAATGGTCCAATGGAGGGACGCGGATAGCCAGTGCAAGGCAGGATTCCTTCGACATTCAGTCTGCGTGCTCGGGATTGAAGATCTTCCTTTCATTGCTCGTTACCGTCACATCCTTGTGAATAAGGTTGGCAAAGTAATTAGTCAGATGTAGCACATTTATTGCCTGATTCTGAAAGTAGCTCAGACATCAGCTTTCAAGTACATCCTATGGGTAACACAGAAGAGAAACCTGGTGTTGAAGCCCAGTTCTTTCCGGAATCTACTGAGGAATTGTTCTAGGTCTAGGAAATTCGGCATTCAGTCTTGCCATTGATAAGAATAGCTCGCAAACTGTTTAATCGCATTCACAGCAAGCATGCAGTACATCACCCCCAAAATCAACAATTTCTGAGCAATCAAAGTCACAACTTAGCCATATGGTTGGCATTACGGTGGTAGGATTCAATCGTTCGAAATTGCAGTAGGAAAGACAAAGCTCTAAGGGCCAAATGAGTTCGGGTCTTGAATATTATGGGTTATCATATTTGCTAAATAAAAATAAACAAAATAAAATCAAGGCAAAGAACCCCTTCTAGAACCCCATGCTCTCTCGCTCTCAACAGCTTCTTCGAAACCCTAACCTACTACGCCTGCTTTTCTTCAGATAGAGTTAGAAAATAGAAGAGCAGTATCCAGAAAAAATAAAGAGTTGATGCATGACCTGATTTAATCTAAGAAGACAACAGCTGCTAAATACAAACGAAGTACTACTCGGGGTAGGGTGTGGAAAGGCAATCAGCGACCTTGGGTGCTCTCTAACCAGAAGGTCGCTAAGCTCATATTGTCCCTGTTTAGAGAGAAATATTGTGTGAAATCAGAGACACATAAAAAGTGAAGGATAAAGACTCAGGGCATTGATCAACCCCTTCTAAAAATGTGCTCACACATTCAATTTCCATTCGGAATCGTAGCGGCGTAAAGAGTGCGTCTGTGGCCTATACAGTGATTTACAATGCCCAACCAATGTTCTAGTCAGTGCTTTTATCCTTCTAGACGATTCTGGTACCAGTCAACCGACTCCGGAGGGTTAGATGGCTCAGTTGGCCCAGGCGGATATAGATACGGAATCTGAAAGACATACCTTGGATAGTTACGATTCGTAGAGGCAGCTGACCAAGAGGATCGGCTCTGATGAACGAACTTGAGCACTGAGCGTGCGGTGAAGGACACATATCGGTAGGATGGCAGTCGTCTGAGGTTTATGCTGTTGACTCTTCAGAATTCTATTCGGGAGGATGTAGTTAAAATACTGAACATCACTCACAGCATTAGGGTAACGACTATTTCTACCGATACTGATAAAACTCCGGAAACTCTTCAAAATTCAAATGAAATAATACAAGATAAAGACCGATATAATAACAAGTCGTGGTTTTTTCATGCGCAATATGGTTTCAGATGATGCCATCTTTTGACTACGGGGCGATTGCATGTGTTTCGGAACTTTTGTTCAATCGAACATATCTTGGACAAAACGACCATCCACTCAATATGACTTTCTACGAGACCTTGCCTACCGTGCGTTCATTTACTTTGTTTTCCACAAGTTCAGAAATCTTCTCAATCATAGTTAATTCAAATCAAGCACTACTCGAAGCCGATTTGGATAACTGTAACAAGTAGTAGTATACCCAAGTATTCAAAGCAATCTAAGAGTTTCACAGTTAGGTTTTTACTGCTTGCTTTTTGCCCCAAAATTCCAAATTTTGGCCGATCAAGTTAGTAGTGTTACACTAAGAATGCTAATTTCGAAGCCATTCTCTAAATATTCACATTAGGAACTTTACGCGAAGAAAACGATTTCTTTTTCAGGTACGATTTCACAATGGCCTGAACGACACCAATCTCCTATGTCAAACTTTACGACAACTACGAAAATAAAGTCAATAAAAACCAATGACTTCGTGACATTACGTTGTTGAGGATGCTTGATTCGCTTACACAAGGAACAATCCCTCTTATCCGTGTGAACATACGCAAGAGAACGAAAGGAGAAATTGCTGCGTTTATTGTCATGAATATTTTCCGTTTGAGAGTCAATTCTCATCACATACAGTAACAAACAAGCAGAAGAACATCAGCAAAGTACGAGCTGAGCAAGAAGTGGGAGTAACGCAATGTTGCTATGCAACCCTTTGTGAATATGGGTAAGTTTCTTCGAAGGAATGCAATGACATTTCCTATGATGGTTAGGTCTCCCTCCAAAATAGTTTTCGGTCACATTTCTGCAGTACATATTAGAAGCGCAAGTAGCACTATCACCCATGCAAAGTCAGAGGCTGAACTCTCGGTTCGATGTCCTTATAGGGCAAACCAAACCTTCCATCCCTTAAGGTGAGGTAACTGATAATAGACTCGTCTGAGAGGATAGCGGCACTGATACTAGCGAGCCAGAGCTTGTTATTATACAGATCACAATCGCACTCAAGCGCCACTACGATTCTGAATGGAAGTCGAAGGCAGGACCTACTCCAAAACGGTGCCCATTGATGCCAACAGACAGATCTCAAGACCTTTACTGTAAGCAATCAATCATTTCAAAAAATCATTCATGAGCGAGTGGTTACACCTGTTTAACTTTGGATGGAAATCTTGCTTGTGTGCTACAGCCTTCACGAACAACCTTTAAAGCAACGCTTAACTATGGTGTTTCTCTGAAAGATCCAAAATATTCTAACTGTACATTAATTGTGTTAAGAAGGTATGTTCGTCAAACTAAATATTTATTCTAGTTAGATGTGCAAAAGATTTCACACCCATGCCGTAAAATGGTGACTTTCTAGGGTTCATAAAAGCAAAGCTACGATAACGAATCGGGAATACTTCACTGTTGCTTGGCGGAACTGATATTCTTTTTAACCATCCAACTAGACCGCGTGTTCACGTTTTTCTATCCTTTTCCAGTCCCACCATACAGGGTGCGCCATAAATATGGTAACAAAAGAATTGGGCTCCAAAAACCCCAGTTAATATTGATACATCGTGAATTTATGTGAGTTATTTACCATGCATCACGTCTACAAAACGNACTCACGGTCATCTTATATAACCTTCTCCTTTACTAATTATAGCTCAAAGATGCTTCGGCTACTCATCGACGGCGGCACGCAGAGTTTCTTGAGAAACTCCAGTTTGGGATTTTTCCAGTGGTCTCTTGTGAGCAGCAACAGTGGTGCATTATGAAGGGCATGCTTCCCTCTCCAGTATGAATTATATCCAGCAACCCATTGCATTGTGGGCCGAGTAGTTCGTAGGAAGATTGGAAGCTGGTATAAAGTCGCGAGCATTCCCTCAGCACCAGTCTTGATCTTTTCCCATTCGTGAGCAGGCGCGCCGTAGTTTTCAAATCGCATCCCTGAGAAAATCTTTGACCCTCAGCTGCATCCTTTCAGAAGGACCCTTCTTAAAGAGTTTTTAATTGCATTTTCTACTTTTTTCGACCAAAATTTGCGATATCCCTCTGATGGTAGAGTTTTTTGCAAAAATTATCATCAAACAGAAAAAATGGTTATGAGAAGCGATCTGACACTTCTCAGCGGCTTCAACACTCAAAGTGTGAAGTATTCGTATTCTCTGGGATCCCAGCATTTCTTCCTTGCTGTACAGCATTTAGTCAAAAAAAAAGCTTTGTTGAAGCGCGGCCGCCGCAAGTAGCGCACGACATTTGTTTTTTCTCTCCAGCTTCTTCTCGTCAAGAAGCTATAAGGCATTCGAATTCTATCTGGATACAGTTGTAATCACTGGGGGTAGACTCTACTCGTCGGAGTAGAACATACAAACAAATCAGCGGTCATTTTCCTCATATTTCCGCAGGTTCCGTAGCCTACTCCTTCCAAAACAATTCTATTCGGAAAAGGGATCGTATGTGAGTGAAAACGACCGTCTCTGATTTGTCGCCGACCTGACTACGCATCGCGATTCAAGTAGGAAATGTGTAGGAAATGTTGAAACGAGGAGCGATTCCGAAAAAGGACTCACCAAATGCGCACAAGGACGGAACGAATGGTGGATGTCTGCGAGGCTCCACCATTTTTCGGAATCTGTCGAATTGAGAGCACCAGAGTAAATATGTAGTATAAGGTATATCCTAAACATAAGGGAAGGTGCAGATTTGGAAAAACCCTCCAAACAAGAAAATTACGGACGTCCGAAAAATTGTTACCATATTTATGGCACACCCAGTTGTTCGGAATGCCTGTCTATTCTGCGACGTAGAATAGACGACATCGGCCAAAGAAACATATTCAATTCGGGCTCAATGGGAAGAGATCGCTTACCAGAAGATCCCCCATGATGATTAGGCGCAGAATATTCAGTCCCTATAACGCCAGGATTCACGTTGAAAAGGAGCCGAGGCCGATAGTTCTACACAATCCACGCGTTTTGACCAGACAGAAGGAGACATCAGCATTTGAGCTCCAACATTGACCAACAACGAGTCTTTTCTTTACTCTGCAAACTATAAATTCAGATCGTAAAACAAAGGAAGTTATAGTGTGCCTATAGTATGGGATACCAGTAACCATTCCCTGCACTGACGACATAATGGTAATACATAATGGTAGCATACAGAGAACAGGGAAGACAGGCGATTGTTCTTCTCTGCTTCTATTACCATTGTGATTTTAAAAGTTTTGAAGGTATTCCAGGATTCCAAGAAGCTATTTCTACAGGATAAGGATGGAGCTCAAATAGTTGCATGGCAATGAACGCTACTCCTCAGGTAAAACCACGAAAGATAACTTCAGTGGGGTGTGCCACCCTAGAAGGGGGAAACCTTGCAATGGAAACATTACTCTCTCAAACCCCGGATAGGCGTCTACCGCGTAGTATGAAAAAGCAGATGTTCATTGAAGTGATGACTAAGGCTAGTGGTGTTCTGAATAGGAGTGAAAAAACCTCTAGCGTCTGCATAGTGTCTGCAACCTTTGAGATAGCGCGAATTCACGTCTGTGAAGGGGTGAGAAGTGCACGTGAATCTATCTTGAATCAACCTATTGTTGATGTCCTTTTGCAACAGAATTGGATCGGTGTTGCAGTGGAATAAACAAATCTCTCACAGTCGCTTTTCCTATCCGGCTTTTACGACAGGCGCAGTGCACAATAAAAATAATTACTAAATTTATCGTAAGGAAAAATCTGCCTCCGTCAAAGAGAGTACAAGGGACCCTGTCGAATATCGGTCCTAGATAGGGCGTTATAAGGACAACAAAACCGGCTAATCGACGATCCCTTACCCAAAACATAGGACTCACAGTGGTCCAGAGCCTGAACAGATTTATTTTTAGATAGACAGATCTATCCTTACGTTCATTGCACCATGCCCAAACGTTGCATCCAGGCAGCTTACTGTAGCCAACTGTATGCAAT